AAAAGGCTCAGGAAAAATGGGAATATCTGGGCAGTAAATGTGTGTGAAGTGTAAAAGCACCTCCTGGGCATGGTCAGCCTTTGCCAGGATAACTCAACAAACCCGAGCAAACACTGGTGGCTGAGAACCACCCTGCAGGCAGACCCCAGCATTCCCACTGCAGTGGAATTCAGGCACCGATGGAGGCTGGATCCCAGCATGCAGAAGCAGCAGCATCCTTCAGCAGTGTTCAGAGCAGGACCAGCAGATAAAACAGAGAGCTAAAATACCTGGGGGCTGTTTCCAAGTCCTGCAGCGAGTCAGGCAGGTGTCTGCAGAGCTGGAGAGAAGAGCAGTGAGGGAAACCTCAGCAAGAAAAGAGCACACCCAGGTCTCTTCTCACAAATAATATTGTAAATGTAGGTGAACCTGGTGGGAAGAAATGATGATGTCTGACTCCAGCTCAGAAGGCTGAATGATTTCTTTATTATAACTATACTAGAATATATTAATATACTATTTAAAGGAGATATTAAAACTACAAACCTACTTGTTCTAACTACCATATCTAACTCACAACTCGTGCCCCTCTCTGAGAGTCCAGCCCCAGGCAGGTTGGATTGGCCATCAGCTCAAACAATTCTCACCAGAATCCAACCCAGCAACACCCCAGGGAAACAATTCTCCAAACACATTCCACATGGGAAAACAAGGAGCAGAAATAGAAATTGTTTTCTCTTTCTTTCCTCTGTGCTCCTTTATGAAAAATCTTGAGAGAGAGAAGAACGTGTTTACCAGAAAATAATGGTTCTAACAAAAGCCTGCAAGAGATAACACTGCCAGACAAAAAGTTTGCATAACAAAAAGGGATCTGAAAAAGAAACCTCCGCAGTAAAAGAGTCAGGGAGGAGGTTATAGGTCTCCTAATTCCTTTACAGAGGTCAAAGGCAACCAACACCAACCATGCTCCCCTCCCCTCCCTGAGCCAGGACCTTCTCCTGTAGAGATGTGGAAACAGCCTGAAGGAGTTAGGCTAATCCAGGCAGAGGCAAAATGGAAATAACTCCCACAAGACCGCTGGGAAAACTTAATCCAATCTTCTCTTGTGAAGCAGATATTATTCCCCTTTTAGTTGCCTTCAGTGGTGATAAAGTGCAGACAAAGGAGATAAGGGACTCGCACACCTCACATTTCACCACTCACAGTAAATACACTCCTCGCTTTCACTTATCTTTCAGCCTGGTATGGATTTCCTTTTAGTAACCTCCTGAATTACAATCAAATTATACTTTCAGGGCCATTGAATTGCATGGCTTGCAGTACCTTAATGGGTTCTGTTCTGGCTGCTCAGGAAGGACTTGTAATCCCTGTCTTCTTCTATATTTCAGGGAGCCTTAAGGACGTGTTTCAGTGCCAGGCAGAACAGCCCAGGCTTCACTCACCAGAGCAAATGCCACACAAACAGTGAGTGCATGGGCAAGTCAGACATGTCCTGGAGGAAAAATATTAGTACTGAATGCTTCTTCTTTTGCCTTGCAGTGCCAGCCAGGGTTTGGGTGGCACAGTAATCCCAAAACTCCCTCAGACACGAGTTCTGTGTGATTCAATGGCACGGTCGATACCCCAGGTGCCAGCTGGTCTGCAAAATATTTGAAAATAAATGGAAGTTTTAATGCTCAGGAAATGGTGCAGAGTGCCACATTCCTCCTGACAGCCCATCTCTTAGATGGGCTTTCATCCTGCAATAAAGAAGTTGTTTCTTTGTTAGTTAAGGGCTCTGCAAAAAACAAAACTCAGAGCGTGGTCAGGAGCTTTGCTGGGCTGAAATCAATTTTTGAATTATACAAACATTTAGGTAATTGAAATTGAGAGGGAGAATAAACACAGACTGAAAGCCTAACGAGACCTCTTGTTCTGGAGAGGATCTGGAAGGATCTCAATGATGCAAAATGTCCCTCCTGCACCTGAGAGCAGGTCCCAGAGCTGCTGCACCAAACCATTCCCAGGGAATCCCTGTGATCCCCCAGTCCATAAATGCTCAGAGGGGAAGTGGGGACACTCCTGGGGCAGAACATCTGTGCCTTCAAGGGGGAAAGAATACAAATACCATGGAAAACAGCAAATTCTGCATTGCCACAGCACAGGGGACAGTGCCAGGCCCAGGGGACAGTGGGGACCTGCCACGACCTTGTGGAGCCACCAGCCCGTGACACTCGATGCTTTCCAGCTAAATCAGCAGGTTCACTGAGAAAAACTGCACACTGGAGATAATCAGAGTAGGAACTGCCCCTGTCTGCAGCTAATGGAGGGGAGATAAAAAATCTCCCTCCTCCCTTTATTCATCCTGCTGTTTGCAAAACCTTATCATGTTTTTTCCAATTGTATTCCCAATAAGCCACAAGGTAAGAAATAGTGTTTGCCAGCTCTGAAGAGAAGTAATCTCTGTTGGCAACATTTCTCAGGATAAAAAAAAAACCTGTTCAAATAAGATGTGGGAGGAAATTTCCCCCTCAGACAATTTGAGGAGCTGTCGACAGGCAGCAGATGAAAGGCGAGGAGCGCTGGATGCCGCGGGCCGTGCAGGGAACATGGGCAATGGCTTCAGCAGCTCTGGGTTCAAATGGAAAATTAATTTCTTTCTGAGGGGATCCAAAGTGCTGTTCATGCTGTCCTTCCTCTAAACACTTGGTGATTTAATTTTGCTGAGCGCAGAGAGGGATGAGAAGAGAGTCACTAAAGGAGGGAGCTCAGCCCCAGCTCCTGAGGCAGCCCTGGGGTCACGGTGACCCCCCCAAAATCTGTGTTTGACCACAATATTCACTATTTCTGCCCCTCACCTGGAGCCCCTCCACGAATCAGGAGTTTATTAAGGCAGACAGCAGGATTTCTGCTGGCCAGTTCAGGGTGGAACGAGATGATCTCTAAGGTCCCTTCCAACCCAACCCATTTGATCACTCTGTGATCAATTTTGCACTGCTTTTCCCCAGCATTAATATTTCTGATGAAAAAACAAACTGTGACAGATGTGTTCTACCTTAAAACTAACATTCTGCCTTAACAAGAGGAGAAAAATTGATGACTATAAAAATGAGCATAATGAATATTCAGATACATTTGCAAATTAAGAGACTTCAACTGTGTCCTTGTCCTTTGTGCGTTTTCCACAAATATTGAGAGGGGAACTCTCCTGGGAGAAGCGTTCACCAGCACAGCAAGTTTTGAAGAAGGAACCCACTCAATCTACAGCAAATATTCACAACATGAACATTGTGTGTATTCACAGGAGAAAGATGATTCTGGGAACCTCCAATTAGGCAGCAGCAGCTTTTCCTATGATCTCAGGAAAGAACTGAAGAAAAAGGCTTATTTTCATAATTTTTTCAACACAGATTTTTGAAATGGGAAATACAAACATGAGAAAAAGACAAACTTTGGCAATGAATTATTCCCTCAGAATTGTGAGGGGGGAATGCCCCCTTGGGCCAGGCTGGGAGCAGCAGCTACCCTAAGTCAGGTGTGTTGTTAACTGTGTGCAGGAGCAGCTAAACCTGTGTCTCTGATAAGACACCCCAAACCCCAACAGAACCCAAAGCAGCAGCAACATCTCTTATTTACCCTTTCAGTTGAATCACCACAGTGAAGGGACATGAAAACCCCTCCCTGTAATTCCACCTGGAGGCTTTCTCCCGCACTGAAACATTGCACATTGTGCAGTTTTGTTAGATTTCCCTCAGAGATGTCCAATAACCTTCAAACAAACCCAATTCGTAACACCACCAGATGTGCTCATTTTGCTTTTCATGGCAATATGCTGTGAGAGGTCTCTGGGTGGGAGGTAACAACCCAAACAAGAACAATTTCTGTTTTGCTGGTTTGAAAGCGGAGCTTTCAATATCCTGGCCTGTCTCTGAGTTTTTATTTAAACTCAGGGGAGTTTAAACTTGGGGAATTTTTCAGTTTACAAAATGGCCTGACAAGGATAATTAGGGTTGAAACACACCTGACAATTCCAAATGCTCCCTGTCAAGCATATGGGCTAACACCTATTTTTTATTAATTCCCTGCTTTTCAAAGGGTGATACAGTTGTATTAGAAGCAGTGTGTAGGTGGCTCATTTTTCCCTCCTCACATGCCCTTTGACAGTAGTTTGAAATAACATTCATCAAACAGTGTAAAAGAAGTCAAAAGAAATTAATTAAGCAACCCAGAATGAAAAATAAGACGTCTTTCCAAGAGGACTTGCATTATTCAGGTTTATAGTGCTGCACAGTGCAATTTTCTGGGAAGAAAAGGCAGGATAATGGTGTAACCCTGCTCCACTATGAAACAGCACGTTTGGAGCATCACTGGTGATAAGGAAGTTCTGAAACTGGGAGTTTCCTATTGAAGATTTGCTCTCAATAGCATGCAATATATACATACATAAATATCTATTTGCTCATCTATCATTGCTGGCATCTGCCCCAGAAGGAATTGGAGATTTCTGATCCTCTCCCTGCCTTTTGGCACTCGGGGTTGGGGCGGAGATGGCAATGCCGTGTTTAATTCCATCTCATCAAGTGAACAAAAGCCGCTTTTTGGAAGTCCCTGTTGTTCAAGGGTGTTCAAACAAACATTGTCCAGGTTTTGCCCAGCAGCCACACGTGGCACTGCAGGGCTGGATTCCAGCTGGATTCCTAATTTCATGTTCATATTATCAGCTGCTCAGGGTAATTTTGCCCTGATTTCTAAAAGTGTTAAGTTTTCTTTTATAGTTCTTTTGAAAGTTTTAAAGTTCTCATAAAACTTCTTTAGCCTTCTGGTAATGTTTACATATTTGAGAGTCAGAGTTCCCACACAATTTCATGGATAAATAGAATAGTTTACATATTTCTCTGTAAGGAGAGAGAAATAATTAATTAATCTTTAGACCAGTGTGGTTGGAGAGGTGGTAATTCCATCCTCCAATCCACAGCCACCTTTAGAATTCTATAAATACCAGATATTTGAATAAAACTGGGTCTTTTCTCTTTTGAACTTACCGAGCTTCTGTGTACTCATTTTGTGTCCAACAGCAACAGGGCAATAGCTCAGGAAAGGCCATGGATGTCACAGCACTAGGTTCTGTCACTCCCAACGAACCTGCTGGGTGTAAGGGAGCCACAGGGAAGGGATTAACTGTGATTGATGCAAGAAACTTCCCAACACATCCTCAGTCTTGCTCATCAGATGCTGATTTTACCTGAGCAACGACTCCAGCTTCTCTTCTTCTCTTCTTCTGTCCATGTCGGTTCTTCCACAACCTGGACAGACACAGGGCTGCCAGCAGCAGGTCTCCAGCCCAAATAAACCCAGCTTGCACCCCAGGACAGGGCTGAAACCTGGATTCTCCTTTAGTGCCCAAATTCCCCCGGGCAAGTCTCCTAAAGCACCATCCCCTGTGCACATGGCAGGGCTGGTGCTGCCCAGTCCTGCCCACCTGGGCTGATCCTCCCCGTGCTCTGCTTCCCTCTGAAAACTCCATGGCAAGGCTCCTTCCAAGAGCCTCTGGAAGGCTTTGGCTGTAATTGCTTGTAAACCACTTAGGCAGTAAGTGATACAGAAATCCAAGTGGTCACTGTAGCAGAGGCTTGAGATTAATCTGTTTTTGGCTTGTCAGACGTTCTTATGGACCTGGTTCAAGGCAGTCACTGAAAGCTGTAAAGTGTCCAAAAAGTGACAGGAAAAAATAGTTTGATTAAAACCATTCCAGAGGCAAATCCAATCTTCAAGACACTCTCTGAAACTTATTGGTGTAGCCTGCAGATGAGGCACCCATGAACATCATCTGGCCAGAGACCTGGGGAGAGCCACAAAAAGCGTTATGTCAAAAAAAACAGGTGCTCTAATTTTGGATTCCCAAAGCAAAACTGTGCAGGGAAAGTCAGTGAAAAAATATAACAATGTCTGCCAAGAGGGGATAAGCAGCTTGTCCTGACCCAGGAATCAGAGCTCTGATGACTGCAGAACATCCCACAGGTTCTGTTTTGCTCACCTGCCCTCAGGTGACACCGTGAGATGGATGGACACCTGGACTTGATGGCCTTAAAGGGCTTTTCCAACTGTAATGAACCCAAAATTCTCTGACTGCCAGATGCACTGTTTGGTGTGACTGAGGAACCCCAAACCCTTGGTTTATCTCTTTAGCTCCCAAAGGTGGGAGCACCAGCTCATTATTAGGAACTGGAAACAGCTTCTTTCTCCACAAAGCTGCAACATCTCCCAACTTTCCACCAACTTCCATTTTCTATAGCCTCAAGGTCAAGATTACCCTTTATTATTTTTTCCATCATTTCCTTCCCATTTACTTTGGATTAGTGGATGTTCTGTCAATAAGGACTAATGAAATTCCAGGCCAGTATAAACTCTGTCTGCTCTATGAATGGTTCTTTTTTCACACAGACTTTCTGTGAAATAAAAAGTGACTGATGCCACAATATGCTTTAATTATTTTCTTCATAAACTATCAAATTAAATTTTAAGAAGCTGGAGATGTCTCTTATTAAACTGGGACTGAACTCAGAGATGTAACTCTTAATGAAACCTCCCACACCAGAAAGCTTTTTTGTAATGTTAATAATTTTCAGCAGCCTGCCATATGCAATATCTCACCAGAGCTTATGATTTTCACATTCCACCCCCTGCCATGGGCTGGGACACCTTCCCCTATCCCAGGTTGCTCCAAGCTCCATCCAGCCTGGCCGAGACACTTCTGGGACTTTCTAAGCCACAGCATTATGCAGAGCCTTCCATATTTTAGCTGGGATTTTCCACTCACTGTATCAGGGAGTTTATCCAAAAGCAGCGCTGAATATCCCAATGAATATCCCACAGCAGCACCAGGTGAGTCACAGCACACCTGGAAAACACAGGCATTCATCAACACCAGCTTCAAGGGAAAAGTATTTAATCTAAGCAGCAAGAACATCTCAAATTATCAAGGAAAAAGCAGATAAAAACTGGTGTGTGATGGAATCATGGAATGATTAAGGCTGGAAAAGCCCTCCAAGGTCATGGAGTCCAACCATTGTCCAACACTGCCTTGCCCACCATTAAATCGTGCCCCAAAGAACCACATCTACACATTTTTTTAACACCTCCAGGGCTGGAGATTCCACCACCTCCCTGAGCAGCCTGTTCCACTGGCTGACCACCCTTTCAGGGAAGGAATTTTCCCTGATATCCAATCCAAACCTCCCCTGGTGCAACTTGAGGTCATTTCCTCTCGTCCTGTCGCTTGTTACTGGGAGCAGAGACCGATCCCTGCCTGGCTACAATGTCCAGTTTGCTCTGGAAAACACAGGGATCAAAATGTGGCACATTCTGGGGCCAACCAGCAAAACACAAAACCTGCAGAAGTCACTGGATCGTATTTTTGGATCCTGCCTTAAGGGACAAAGAACAGAGTGAGAGATGAAAATGCGGCAGCTGGTAAAAAATCATTAAAAAGAATAAGGCAGAGATGAGGAAATACAGAAACTGCCGGGAGAAAAAAAAAGAAAAGGAACAAAGACATGGAAAAAAGACTCTTAGTCTGCCAAAGTTTACACAATTTCATAAAGTGTACAAAAGAAGCAGAGAGAAAGGGAAAAGAGCAAACCAAGGAGCTCCTGGCTGGGTTGGGGGTGCAGCACACCGGTGATTTCCAGCTCATTCCCAGTTCTGGGGGTCGGTGTGCCCAGCACAGCGTGTCCTGCCCGCCCTCCCACGGCCTCTGTGCAGTTCATTCCAGCTCAGTTGCTGGCCAATTCCTCCTGGTCACGCAGTGACAGTCCCAAGGGCTTCATATCCATGGCCCCCCTTTGGCCAAGAACACCTGAATCCCACCACGAACAAACCATCACTCATCCCCTTGTGGGCAGAAACGGGCAGTCGTGGACAGAAACACTGATTTTTCCAAATGGAAATTTCTCTGTTGTTGATGGCAAAACACTGCTGAACTTTCTTTTCTTTTTTTTCTGTTTAATTTTATTCACGAGCTGAAGTGACTTTGGGCAGCCACAAACCGATTTTTCACTGTGTTCTGAACAGATGGTTGTTCCAAGAATACCAGCATCCTGGCAGTGTCAAACAGCCTTGACCTTCCCAAGCAGCGCTGCAGACTTTTTGTTAGAAGGAAAGAAATAAAGAACGGCTCACATAGTCCAAATTTTTTTTTTTTCCTGGATTATTAAACACAGTGAACATTAGAGGCAACAAACTAGGCTCAAGGAAAACCTGAGATTCAGCCTCAGAGAAGCAGGAATGGCTTCTGGAATCACTGGTGGTGCACAGACAACTCCAAGGTCACGTCAGACCCCCCTGGCAGCAGCAGAAGAGTGAAGAGATGTGAGCTCCTCACATCATCTCCAGCTCTTCCAGCCCTGAGGAGCTGCTGTGATGGGCTGTGCAAAGCCCAAAGAAAAAACACAAAATATCCCAATCCTCAAGTTCAGGCTTTATCCAGCAAGGTTCCAGTTACAATTTCCCAGTTATAAATAGTTGGAGTTCATTGTGAGCCTTCAGCAACCGTGGGCTGGCACAGCTTTGGGGACCTTTGCAGCCAGAGCCTTCAGAAGGGAGGCAGCTCATTTTGTTCTGCTTTTAAATTTTTTTAAGAGATATAATCCTATTTTTAAGATGATTTAAATATCATCTGTGCTTAGTTCTCTACAAGCCACATTAAAAAAAAAAAAAAAAAAAAAAAAAAAAAGTCAATTTTACTGCAGTTAAATCCTCACGTCCTTAATCTCCAGGAAGAGAGAGGCCAGGTTCCTTCCTGGAGACAATCCTGCTTTTTTAGCACACGTGAATTATTTTGTACCTGATTGGTGTCTATCCAGATATAAAAATTTGGGGGCAGCGCCTAGGGAGCAGCTCCTGTCATGAGATCAATACCTCATTATGGATTAAACATAAAAGTTAAGCCATCCTTAGTTCCCAGCTGACAAAGAGCGGCATAAATCCCAGGCTGGCATTTGGGGGATTTTGTGCAAATTACTCCAATGACCTCCTGCTAAGAGCAGGTGAGGAGCTGTCACCCTTCCAGCCAGCAGTGCCTCGGAGCTCTGAAGTGCCACAGAGGGATTTGGGAAGGAGCCCAGGGTTAGCCAGAGGGAGGGAGCCCAATAATCCCAGCTGGCATCCCCTGGATGGCAGGAGAGGATTCCAAGGCCGACGCTCCGCTGCCTTCTGGAGACGACGGCGTGTGAGGAGCGCTTGGGTGGAACCAGCTGGCAGCTGAAGCACTGCTCTGGAGCAGGAGGCAATTACAGATGGATCAAGCCTGAGCACTTCTGAGCGAAATCCCTTCCATTTCGAGGCGTCTGAAGTGAGGGAAGATCTCGGGAAAAGGCAAATCCAGCTCTTTAGAGCAGAGCGTGCTCCTTGATGGTGGCTGCCCTGGGTGCTCTCTGCCTTTTAATGCTGTTGAGAACCACTCATTACTCCTCTGACTCAGAGGTTTGACTAATTCCCAGCAAAGCTTTGTACCCAGGGAGAAGAAAGCTCCGTTCAGAGGGCCAGCACTGAGCCTCCAGCAGAACGTGGGCAAGGGAACCAGTTGGCTCCTCTTTTACATATGGCACAAAATAGAAAAACCAAAGGCTGAGAGGTTGTGGGAGCACAGGAAAAAAACCCAGAATTTAGATTCAGAAATGCTTAGGATGCCAAGCAGTGGAAGAGTCTTGTTCTGGAAACAATGGGTGTGGGCAGGGGGCACATTTGCCCCTAACCACAACAGAAATATGGGGCCTCCTGGTTCATGCAACTGATGCCAAAGGACAGGGCCTGCAGCTGTGCCAGGGAAGGTTCAGGTTGGATATCAGGAAGAATTATTCACTGCAAGAGTGGTTAAGCATTGGGATGGGCTCCCCAGAGAAGTGCAGGAGCCACCATCCCTGGAAGTGCTCAAAAAACCAAGCAGAGGTGGCACTTGGTGACACGGCTCAGGTGCATGTTGGTCAAAGGCTGGAACTGTTGGTCTTGGAGCTTTTTTCCAGCCCTACTGATTCAATGATTTTATGTTTCCAGCTTGGAGAGAGAGATCCAAGACGGTAAAAATGCAGCCCAGCACATGCAGCACCAACATTCCATGTGCAGCCTAAAACCCAAAAATCTTCCTGCACTGGTGTCCCAAGTTTTCCATCACTTCCCACTGCTAATTTCATCTCTTAATTGTTTAATGATTTGTGGAAAATAGGAGGAATGATGAACCTCTCTTCCCTCTCAGCATGTAAGAAAATGAAACCATCCAAGCAATGATCCAAACTCCACAAAGTGGAAATTTGGCCCTGCAAAAATTCCTCCTGGGTTTTTTCTGCCTTCACCATCTTCCTTCAGCTGTCAGAGCAGCAAGATGAAATAACATCCTGTATTCCTAGTGCCATCTGCATTCCAAAATCTCCTACTGATCAATGCAAGTGTCCAAAGAACACTTCCAATTTGTCACAATAACCTTCAAAACTTGACAGAAAATCATGCAAGTTATTTATTTCGGATCTCTCTGTATCTTGTGATTATTTATACTTTGCCAATACAATTCTAAACATTTGCCTTTGCATTTCTCATATTTCTCAGAAGAACTCAGAGGTTAAAACCTGCAATGGGTTTATTTTCCTCTCTGTGCTCTTGTTTTGTATTTCTGGACATTTAAGAAACACTGGAATGGCTGCACTTGGAGCAGGACCAAAAATGTGCTTGAAAAGGCTTCAAATTGACACATCTCAGAATATCAATAATCAGTCTGCTTTGCTCAATTCCACTCATTCTGGTTTTGTCTTTTATAACGTATTTTAGATTTTAGTGGGAACAATTTCACTTAAAAAGTGGGGTTTAAGCATCAAGTACGAGAATCTTGGTTGAAAACTTTCATTTTAGCCTTTAAAAAAGTGGGGTAAAAATAAAAAAAAATGAAATGCCAGAGCTCTGAACTCCCTGAATGAGGTGCTCAGTGAGTTTAGGAGTTTAGTTTAGCATAGTTTTAATAAAGCCAATCCTTCAGCCTTCTGATCTGCAGCCAGACATCACCATTTCTTCCTGATCCAGGGATCTCTGCATTTTTACTGTCCTGGTGGGTGAAGCCAACCCTGTGTGGTGCCACCTCTCCTTCTCGTGCACATCTGGCCAGCTGTGAGTGGCCCAGCTGTGGGCACCTGCTGGGGCAGCCCAGTGCTGCTCTGGCCACTTCCATCCCTTCAGTGAACCCCAACGGGGTGAGGATCCTCAAAGCTGATGGGAGAAATACATTTTCTCATTGAATATTTCTCAAAGATTCTCCAGTTCTCAAAGAAATTCATTACACAGTGGGAAATAAATTACAGCTGTGAGCAGCCCCTGCAGCTGCAGCCAGCAGGAGCCCAGGGAGGAGCCTGATCTGCTGAGATCTGCTGGGAACGGGGAGCACGGAGCTTTGGGAGGCTGGGGGCAGCTCCCCGAGCTCCCAAACCAGGGCAATGAGCCTGACACACAGCACCTCTGACATGCAGATTGCACTGCAAGGCTGTAAAACACTCCTGTGAAACTCCAGAGCTTTACCAGGGACAGATTTCTGGGACATTGGGCAGAGCCCTGGGATGAGCTTGTAAAGGTCGAGCCATAAGCAACTGTGTGTACAAATTTTATGACTGGGAGATAATAAAGAAAAAAGTGTAGGAAGTAGTCAATAGCCATTACCAACCACAAAAACAGACCCTGCAAAAAGAACTCAGCAAATCAGTGGTGGCTGTGCTAAGCAACCCATCAGAGAATTCATGGAACTTGGAGAGCAAATCCAGTGGCTGCTGCTTTAAATTCTGCATTTGCATTAAAAATTCATCAGAATATTTATAGCCAAGTTAAAATAAACCAGCAAAACACAGACCTGTTGGTGCTCACAACCTGTTACACTGGGAAGGGGAAGGGAAGGGAAGGGAAGGGAAGGGAAGGGAAGGGAAGGGAAGGGAAGGGAAGGGAAGGGAAGGGAAGGGAAGGGAAGGGAAGGGAAGGGAAGGGAAGGGAAGGGAAGGGAAGGGAAGGGAAGGGAAGGGAAGGGAAGGGAAGGGAAGGGAAGGGAAGGGAAGGGAAGGGAAGGGAAGGGAAGGGAAGGGAAGGGAAGGGAAGGGAAGGGAAGGGAAGGGAAGGGAAGGGAAGGGAAGGGAAGGGAAGGGAAGGGAAGGGAAGGGAAGGGAAGGGAAGGGAAGGGAAGGGAAGGGAAAGCTTTTAGATATCCCTCAACCCAAACCAGTCTGGGATTCTGTGATCTACAGCTCCCACTCCCAGTGCAAATGTCACTTTGAGAAGATAAAGCAACCATTTATTCAAAGACAGTGCACAAAGAAGGAAAGGTGACACCCAGGCAGGCAGCTGGGGGGGCAAAAAATGACTGTAACTTGCTGTGACTGCCTAATTTCTCATTTATTTACTGAGAGGATTAAAAAGCCCAGAGCAGAGTTCTGTGAAGCAGGAGGGCCACACCCCCTGAATTTTAGAGTTCTGTTAGTTCTGGTTGACTCCTCCCAGAGCATCCCTACATTTATTCATTTCTTTGTTATTATAACTGAATGCTAATGACAACAGTTGATAGGAAGAGCTTAAAGCTCACCCAAACACTGGGACAAAAACATCCATTCCCAGCTCTAGCCATTGCACAGCAATGCTGTCCTTTGACTGCAAGGACTCTCAGACTGAAATTCAGCTTCTCCAGAGCAAAACTGCACAAAATTTTTCCAGCCAGAAGAACCCACACATCTTCCTTGCCCAAGCAGACCTGCAGCACAGAAATGCAGCAGAGCAGCTCAATTACCAACAGTTAAAGCACAGCAGGATCTACAGTTTTCTAATTGAATACACTCAGTTACAAGCAATAAATAAAATAAAAGAGAACATTTTGAATGAATAAAAACATACCTTTGAATAAAAAATATTCTCATTAGGAGAAATGATGACTGCTACCAAAAATATCACCAAGCTACTTCTGTGACAGGCAATTTTTAATCAAAGACAGTTCCATGCAAATTAAGGAAAGCAAATCTTTAAAGGAATAATAGTCTGCCTTAATAGTCCTATCCTTTTTCCTACTATGGATGCTGTGTTATAATTGGTGCTATATGCTGTCCTTCCAAGCTTGGGGCATATTTTTAAAAGCAAGAATGTAAATTTTTTAAAAAAACTTAAAAATTAGAAAATTTCAATTTTGAGGCAGTCCATAGAATGACATTCCAATTTTATATATACATATATATATATAATCAGTGTGGAATACTATTAGGGGATTAAAACTGTAGGCTCCTACCATTGTACATAAAATTTTCAGGGCTCTGTTGGTCACAAGGGTCTGCATTCAGAGTCTGTGCTGATCTCACAACTCCTGCCATCCTCTGCAGCTCCACCCCACCTTTTACAACCCCTCACTCAGGCTGAGCAGGACAAGAATTTATGCCATGGGACACTCCCAGAAAAATCCAAGGATTTTGTGGGGACCGAGGTGTCCCAGGATGAGCCAAACCCTGAATTTCTGCTGTACCACAGCTCCACACATCCTGTCATGTATAAAATGTATAAAATCATGTATAAAATCAACATGGAGATTTATTCTCCAGCTGCCACAAGCACTAATGAATTTAGCACCCACCTGGAAATGAAGTGTGGAGTTCCAGGGTGTCTCAGGCACGGGCGGTTCTTGGTGTGGGGAAGGATTAATCTTTATTTCACAGGCTCATTGCAATCCTGGTGCCACTTCACTGCTGCCTGTGGGACCTGGGAGAAGCAAGGAAAAATATATGCAGTGCTGGTTTTTTGGTTTTTTTCAAGTTCACCTTCAAGTTTTAGAAAATTTCTACTTTTTCTCACTGGGATATAACTCAGAATTTTAGGGGAAATATTCCACAGTGATCTCCAGCTCATAAAAAATTCACATTGGAAAAGGCCTTGAAGATCATCCAGTCTAATCATGAACTTGCTAAGATTGAGATGTTGGGAGCAGAGGGTGTACAACCTGCTCAATAAAAATTAATTTTAATAATTAATAATGGCTGAGGAGTTCAAAAAGAGGGTTTTTTTTTTTTTTCCTGTTCTAAACAAAGTTTTGCCTGATTAATGGTGTTACCTGGGAGGAGACGACAAGCTTTATTTATTTTATTCTTCAGCTGCCTCCAAAGTGGTGTCAAATCTTATCTATGAAACAGCAATCAGCTGCTCCATTATTGGCACAGATGGCTGCTCATCACCACATCCTTATCAGAACAATGCAAACTGAAAAAATATTGAAAAGAGACCCAGTAAAGCACTTGAGAAAACCCTCAGTGCACGTTGGAACAGGGAGCTCAAACCTTCCTTGGATTTGCCCTCCAATTTACTGTAAAGTTGATTTTCAAGTTAGCAGTCTATTTGGAGTTATGATGAATGCTTTAGAAAGGGCTTTTCTTTTTCAGCTGCTCCTCCCAACAAAGGATTTAGAATTAATTCCCATCATCCAACTTCTTCCTTAATGGATTTTTAAGGTCCACTGCAAAGAATCAATCAATGGGAGGCTGAAAACTCTGGCGTGTCACGCATCCAGCCCCACCACAGCAGGGCAATGATCTTCATCTGCATTTATTGGAATTATTTGCAGTGATTAAGAAAAGCAGAATAATCATTTGCATTCACTCAATTCAGGGCGCAAAGAGAGCAACTCGAGAAGTACCAAAAGTTTGAATTTTTGGGGGGTTTTTTTGGGGGGTTTTTTTTTGTTTTTTTTGTTTTCGTTTTTTTGTTTTAAGGTGATTTTGTGAATCTTCCCTCAGAAATGTACATGCTGCTGCACTGAATGTGTTCCTGTCAGGGAACATCTCATTTCCAGGGCACTATTTTCAGGACAAAGTGACTTTTGCAGGTTAATTTTGTACCTGGAATGACTGCAAAAAGCACTCCTGGAAGTGGCAAAGAGAACAAGGAAATTCAAGCATTGCCTTGTATTTTCTCCATTTTTTTCTGCTATTATTTGTTTCCTTTTATTAATAACAATTAAAGAAAAATAACATTTTTTAAACTCAATTTCATTTTTTTCTTCATAAATCAAATGAAAAATTAAAAAAAAAAAAAAACAGCCCTGTGTGCACAGAGAAGCTGCCAGTGACTGAGCTGGAATAGAGCCAGGGCAGAGATGAAGATTTTTGGGAAAGACACCAGAAAGAGTTGGACAATCTGGAAAAGCTTTTTTACAACACCAATCCTTTGGAAACAGAGCCTTCTTTAACTTTTCAGTTACCAAAAGAAATAACAAGAATTTGTCACTTCAACAGCCCCTAAATAACGAGTTCACTATGCAGGATAAAACCAGCAATCTGTAAAACTCTAAAAAATAATCAGGTTCTAAAATAACAAAAAATTGGAGAATTCTTGAAATAAAAAATATTAATTTCTCCTTCCATTTTGATTTTTAAAGGCTGCTTTCCATTTATTCCATTGCTCCAGGCAAGCACAAACATCAAGCTGCAAAATCACACATTCAAATTCAGGCCACAAATATCCAAAAGTTTGGGGTTTTTTTTCTCTGATTCTCCAAAGAAGTGACAAGAACTCCACAATTTTTAATGCCAAATCCTTTTATGGTGAAAATTCCTAATAAAAAAATAGCTGTGCCCTGAAAGATACATTGAATTCCTGATTTTGAAAGTCCTGGAGAGGGCAAAGAACAGCTGTGCCATGTCCAAGGAATCAAAAAATAGCATCAGATATTTCATGTGAGCAATATCCAAAATTTATCACTTGCAGCAACAATAAAATAGGCTGAGATGTGGATGGGATCGAGCGAAAGGTCTGAGCTAAAAAATACAAACCTTTAGGGGACAGCAGGAAAAAATGGAATTATTGCAAGAATTAGTTCCTCCTGGAAACAGAGTCAGCGTGTGCAAAGATGAGGTTTTGCTGTAACATCCTGGAGTTTGTTCCTGTTATTGCTCAAGGACTTTCAGGTGAAATTCAATCAATGGACAGGCAAATATCTCCTCCCTGCTCAGGAACACACGAGTCCTGCTTTGAGCTCTGAAAACCACCAGCATTTCCTTCCTGCTCAGGCAACAGCTTGAGAAAGAGGGTTTTTGGCCAAAGCTGCTGTATCTGCAGAGATTTCCACAACAGCACTGCTCTCCAAATATTTACAGCATCTAAATATCCTTTAATTGGCTCTTTTTCTCTGCTGACCTGTGTGGTTGCTCACTTGGTACAATTCGTTATCTGTGGAGCACAATTGGGTTTTTTTTGGGAGGAATGGAACAAAAAAAGGGCTGTTCCCTGGCTATCTGCATGTACCCTCTGCCCATCCACCTCCCTCTCCTTTGTCCAGAAGACATAAAAACCCATAAAAACCTGCAGGTCAGGAGGCTGCTCAGCAGAGTGTAGGTGGGTAATCCATCAGGAGCACAATAAACTGTGAAACCCCAAAGATGCTTATCCAGCAGGGCTAATCCTGACACTGGAGCTCCATTTTCCATCCAGAGCTCCCTCATGGATGCTGCAGCGTTGCTCTAAAAGATTTTGTGGTAAATCACAGAACGTTTCACAGGGGAGGAGGTGAGACAAATAATCCTACAATAAAAATGCAGCAGGTTTTGCTACCTGGGCTATTCCTCTTGCTCTGACACGGCTTTCACCCCAATCCAAATGAAAATGAAAATCCACACATGAGCTTTCACTGAAAGGATCATAGAGCATAAAATTCCACTTAAAATAAGGAATGGTCCATTTTCCTGCTGTTTGTACTTATCTCTGGAACAGATCTTCATTAAAGCACCCTGGGATGGGCTGTCCCACAGGGAGGTGCCCCTGGGCATTCTGGAATTCTGTACTGGATCCTTTACAGGAGATTAACTGGCTCTCGTGTTTATGTAAATAGGGAAGCCAAGATTCCTGTGCATCCTTCTCCATAAATTAAAAACAATGCTTTCCTGCAGTTATGGCTGTAAAGGGGAAATAGACCTTGACTGGATGTAATGAGGCATTTGTGTTTGCAATAACCAGAATTTACTGTTACTGCTCCAAGAACCATCACTCCTTGTTTAGGCTCTTAAGTGACAATAAGTGTGGCTAAAATAAATTTTAATGAACACTCCTGGGTCACCTTACTGAATTTATGGGGCATAATCCAGCATTATTTGAAATAACCGTGGTCTTTGGGGCTGTGGGGAGCAGTTCCAGCTACTGATTGCTTCCCTCAGGTCAGATGCAGGTGCAGACACACCAATTCCTGAGGGGAATTGGAAAAGGTGACCTGCAGCTGAGCTTTGGCTCTCTGGGAAGGCCACAAAAGGTCATTTGAGTGGTGGCAGAAGGAGCATGGAGCTGCTGCTCTGTTTGTCTCAGAGAAGGGTGCTGGATAATGCTGGAGCTGAGTGGGTGCTCAGGGCAGGGAGGATTGCAGGGTCCCAACCCACTGGATTCTCCCCAAGGAGTCTCCTCTACACTCCTGAGGGGTCTGGGTGCTGGGCTGACCCCAGGAGTGTAAAATCCTCCTTCTCCAGCCCTGCAGCCAAAGGAGCAGTCTGAGTGTGCAGGATCAGCTTCTCAAGGCTGTTTATTTTCCCTTCTCCAGAACATTCTCTCTCTGCCCTGCTGAGCTCTGGCCAGCAGCTCGGCCATGGCATTCTGTCTGCCCTCAGGGCGGGGTTTGCATTTTATACCAAAAACTGCCTGTGCCATGTTTGCAATAACGTGCCAATATCTGTCATTTCTGTTGGGCAGTGTGTCTGTGCCTTAAACCAACAGAAAAGTGTCACCAGCACAGCAAGGCATGGAGGGCAAGGAGAGGGAGAAGAAGGTCAGGACATGCCCAAATCCCTCCATCTTGTCCCCTTGAACCCCATTCTAAAAACCCCAAAATTCTACTTTTTCACCCTGTGTTAAGTCAACTCCCACACTACTCAAACCCTTGTGGCTTGTAATTCCTCACACAGAGTTGGAAGCTTTTTTCCATGGGCAAGAATGGAAGCCACAGGTGTTTGTGACTTTGTGCCAGGGTCTGGAGCCAGCCAGGGCAGCCACAGGGATGTGCTGGACTCCGACACCCTCCCAGCAAACAGGTTTTTGGTAGATCACAAATTCAAGGAGTTCTCTCCAAAGACTGAGCTGCAGTTCCTCTCCGTTCCTCTCCCAAACACTGAGCAGTGGAGGAGGGCACAGACGGGCAGGGAAGGAACAGAACGCCCTCAGATCCCAGAGCTGAGAGTGAAATCCAAAGTTTAAATTAAATAAGTCAAGGAATCCTGTTGACTGCAAGGAGGCAAGCTAATCCCTGCAGGGAGACAATGGCAAGCCCTCAGTTTTCCCATTCCCTCACAATCCATGAGGGAAGCAGCTCCCAAAAAAAGGCGAGGACATTTTCCTTTTCAATTAAAGTATTGCACTTACATAACATTCCTGCTTTTCACTCTATTGTGCCTGGTCTTCCCTTCAGGAGCTTATCTGTGTGATCCAGGTTCTTTATCCACCTTTGTATCTCATTCCAAGGGAGCTGGACAGAATTTCAATGCAGGACCTGAGTGGTTTTTAGAAAAGCTTCCCAGCCCCATTATCTATTGAGCAGTGGGTACGAGGTGCAGGCCATTGTCATGCTGCTCTCCTTCATCTTCCTGAAGTGAAAAATAGAAAAAATGCTTGAGTTTTTAACCTATTTTTCAGGAAAATAAAAGCCTGACCTCTATACAATGTCTAAAGTCTAAGCTTGAGATAATGAGTTATTATTTAATTCTTCTGTAGTTAAGGGCCATGGGATATTACAC